AAAAAAAAACAATATTTGCACCGTGTTTCGAAAGAGTGGAGACGCTGTAGTGGAAAGTGGCACTACAGCACATGCATGGCTCAAGGGTCGAATCCTGGTCGATATCAGCCCAGGCCAGTCAGGCTTTCATCTTCATCATCAGGATGGGTCACAGTTGTGGGAGGACGAATGTTCGGACTTGAACATCATATGCATTCAAAACGCCCCTACAATTCGGAATGGAATTCGAAATATTTAGGATTCGCATAAAAAAATTTTTTTTGACGACAAAGCATCTGGCTCCCTGGCTTCGATCCTGTAGTCGTAGAGAGCAATGTATTGATTTGAGAGAAACCTCGAGATAATCAGCTCCCTCTTGTTCTCCTGCTCGTGAAAAAAATGTCATAGAGCCATGGAGCTGGTATAAAGAGGGGGAGGTCAGGGATGAAGTCGACTGAATTACCCAAATTCGGCTTCCTTCGTTTTGATAGCAGAAAACCGACTGGCTATCGGAATGAATGGGATGATTCAGAGATCTGATTTCCAAATTCGTTCTTTAAACGTATTCGCAGATTTCTGGAGTCAACTTTATAGAAAACCTTTTAATTCTGAATGTTCCAAATGTCAATAAAACAACTAACCGGGAAGAGAGTGACCAGCCAGTAAAGTTTATTTCTTCTGGTTTCAATTGAGACGAAGGTGTAAACGTAGAACCAGTGGACGAATGCCAACACATACACCACCAATGTGAATACTCCCGCAATAGCCAAAAGAACCACTTGGAACGGTTCCAGATCTGAAAAAGATAAAGTTGGACAGTAACTTATGGACTATATGCGCAACCAAGCAACTTGGGAAAAGAACTCGGGCAGGTTGCTAGAACAGGAAGGTATGGTCTAGACTCTCTCTAAATTAGACGAAAAGGCTGAGAATCTACTAGAATCGTGATACTAAATTTAAATATTCTCACTTATGAGAATTCATCCCATTCAAGGAGTAGTGATAACAAGTAAAATCGAAAAAGGTGTGTGACGTACGGGCGAGGAATTCCCGTGCCGACGGTGTATCCATCCTTTCGGAGCAGTTCTTGTCCGGTGGCACCATCAGTGACTCCATTAGATGCATTACAGCGGCCACACGAACTCCGTCGGCCATTTCAAAATCTGAAAAGAGCTGAATGGGAGATTCATGACGGCTGTTATGTACGGTAGAGATGAGAATAAACGATCGGTAAGTTCATGAGATAGGCGATATTCGTGACGGAGGATTTTGAAGCTCAGCTTCTGCGCTTTCGGAATCCACCTCACTAAATGAAGGCAAAAAGATAGACGTCAAGCGAGAACTTTCTGAGTTGAATGAATGGTAAATTGCAATAATAACAACGGATTAAGCTCTGAATCGGTGCTTCACCAAAGGGCTTCCTCGAAACCCTTCTTCGACCCATATAACATCGAGAATCACTGCTCCATTCAGGGCGCAAGGCTTTTAAGGAACAATCTAAGAGATAAGACAAACAGCATTATGATTCACCATACGATTCATGGGGTGCAATCAAACGAATACCCCTTATGACTCGTAGCCTGACCTGGAGTTCATGACTGAATGGCATCGCTAGAAATAGATAAGGTTGGATGGCTGTGTCATCGATTGCGGAGTGACTAGTACATGAAGTAAATACAATAAAACTTAACGGACTTTCTCGCCTTCATTCAGGTTACTTGGTATTCTTTAGGATGTTTCCCTGGGACAGTGCTCTCTCAGACGCCGAACTGGTGGTTTTCAGAACATTCATGAGTTGTCATCCATTCGTTCTTCTTTTAGGAGTCAGGGTCAACACTATTGCACATCTGGTCTGTATAGGAATATTGGCTGACGTGACTTGGTAAGCCCGAAAGAACTCCCGATATGTGTTTCTTGCTCCGTCACTAAGACAACCGTAATTCACAGTCCCACGACACGGAGATTTCAGGGGTGCTCAGACTTCAAACGTCGGCCGAGCTCACAGATTAAGATGCCCCAACTCCACCAATTTGACCTTAGTTTATTTGATTTGGGTTTTTCGATTTATGGCAGCTGTGAGACCACCTACAGGTGCCGTCTACTAATAGCTACGGGTGTGGTGCAGTAGGAACCAAAATGCCGCGTCGCGGCGAGAGAGACGTCGCGACGCGGCATTTTGAACTAGAACCCTAGAACTGTTATAACGAGACAGATGGCCCGCGATAGCGGCGTGCGGCGGACCGATTACACAAAACCGTTCATATTGCCCGTCTCCCTGAATATCGTTCAAAAACATTTTCAACGTTTCTCTTCAATAGATCCTGCTTGTTTTGTGCGTAAGCAGCGGCAACGAACGAATCGCATTCGATAAATTATTCATGATGAAGAATCATTTGAATAAATTGATGGCGACGAATGTTCCAATGTTAAAACAAAATGTTAGAGAAGATCGAACTCAACACAAAACGTGGGCGAAGTATTGAAAAAAGGCTCCGATCGAAGCAACATTACATTCAAGCTCAATAAAACCACTAAGATATCATTATAACCAGGTGGAGAAACTTCCGAACAGGATGAAGTTCGAGATTGGGAAAGGAAAGAAATGGTCGAGAATATTATAGTTAGATCATACTGACAATGAGAAAGGCCAGAGAACCTTCAAATCTGACTTTGGCTTAAAGAATTGTGGAAGATTCGAAAAGAAGCGAAGCTCGACATAAGGTTGGTACGGTGCTTCTTGTACATATTTCTGAACAGGTAGAATGACAAGGTGGTCTCTCCGAGGAAAGGATGAGAGTACGTGCGCCGTAAAGGATCCACAGAGTCGTCAGAGCGTGAAGTGGTTTCCTTTGTAAACTCTATGACAACGACAATGCTGAATGTCTTAGAAGTACACAGAGCTGCAGAAGGGTCATCGGAGAAAGTCAGGCGATGTTCAAGTGGCGCTGTGAGGACTCCTCCGGATTGTAAATGATCTTATACGATATATAAAAGTCCATGCTTGATCATTTCTCCGGATAGTCGACGTGATTTTTGAAAAATAAACTTGCTCCATTTAGAATCAGTAATGTCCGTAAGTTCAGATGGACTTATCTGCTCTGCCCTTTACCAAAAGAGCTTGAGAAAAAGCTTCAAAGGAGAAAAATAAGTATTAAAGCAGAAATATCAGCGTCGTTATCCGAAATCGAAGGCCAAGAGGTTGCCGGAGGGGACCATTATAGAAGAACTTTTTTTTACGAGAAATTAGTCATATAGCTGTTAAGTTATTTGGGTATCAAGCTTGAGTGGCTTCTGCTATTAAATTTACATGGAGTGTCGAAAAAGTGAGGTTTCAGCTCAAATCCATTCCAAGTCAAACCTAACTGGATCAAAGTTCAATTTAATTAAAATTGCTGAGGAAAAAGGCCAAACTTAATGGTGCCATTCATGATCTCCCGTCTTGCAAAAGGGTTCTGGAAAAAGAGGAGAAGTCGAAGGATAATAATTTATCCGAGCCGCTTGGATGTAATACAGGATACTTGGATATGAATTTGTATAACCTTTGATAGTTTGAAATGGAAACGTGACAGTTTGCCAGGGTAACG